AAATCTGTGAGTAGTGAAGAATAAATTGGACTGTGTTAGGCAGCGCAACTTTGCATAGTTCATGGGCAATTAATCTGATTTGGATACAGTGGATGTGTAAAACCACAGTCCCCATTAGCTGTAGCAGATGTCACAGTTCCTATCCCTTCTGAAGAAGTCATCGGCCATGGCCATGGGTGGTAGGTAGTCCATGCAGTCCGTGCTGGGGCAGGGGAAGTACTGCGGGACCCTGTTGTCCACATGCTGGGAACCACAGGCGGTGCAGCAGCAGGCAGAGGTGGTGTATGGGGAGGGGGTATGGCAGGACCACTCCTCCGCAGGGTAGCCATAGGTCTTGGTTTCCAGAGCAGAGGGTGGGCTGTGGGTCAGTGGGGTGAAAGGAGACAGCTGAGGAGGCGAGCAGCTATAGTTTAATGGGCTGGACAGATCAGCTGAACTGGGGGATCCAGCAGCCTAGAGATGAAGAGAAAAACAAAACAGGATGTTTCAGAGTGTCATTTGGGGAAATGTGGACAGCAGCCTGAATTTCTGCACCGCTGCTTTTCTCAGGAGGGTCTGGCTACTCAGGGAGATGGTTTGGCCCTTGGAAGCCTAAACCTAAGAGGCAGTTCCTGTGACAGTGTTAATCAGGAGCTTCTCTGCAAGTTAGATAACTGTTAGCTGGAATTGGGCTATTCTTTCCAGAAAATCTACAAGATCTGTAGAAGGGACATTCTCTATTCTGTAGCTTTTCTCTAGGTTTGGCTGGCCCTCCATGTCCTCTGCTCCCAATGGAAAGCCATGCAGAAGTTCAGACAAGCAGCATGCACTGCTGTGGCTGTACCCCATGCCTGTAAAAGCTGTCACATTTCCAAATCAGCTTGCTGCTGCTCTGCCCCAGGATGTGACCACCTCCCCCATCTTCCCTCTGAGTGTGCCTGTGGCTGCTCCCCTGGGACACCAAACTTACCAGGCCCTGGTTAAAGCAGAGCGGGACTGACTGGAAGGTGTCTGAGGTGTAGTGCGAGGACATCTGGAAAGCACTGAAGGATGGGTCTGAGGGCGCATCTGTCTGAAGACAGGAATCTACCAGCTGCTCCAAATAGCTAGGGCTTTCTTCGCAGGACAGGCAGTTTGAAAACTGCCATGATGGACAATAGTTGGGAACAGAAGAGATGGGTTCTGCATCAAAAGGTGCTAGGAGAGAAGGTAAACCAGACAGCAGCAGATTATTCAGTATCTGTCTTCACAAAGGGCAGGCGTTGCCCGAGGTCAGTTTTCAGTACTCTCATATGTTCAGTAGCCCTATGGATTTAGACAAGGAAAAAGGTCCTTCAGTTCAGGGTGAATTTTCTAGGAAAATTCCCCTTGGAAAGCTCCAAATCTCTTTAAGTACTGCTGGAAACTCTTCTGGCTCCAGAAATTGTGGACAAGGATCCAGCTGGAAACTCTCTCAGACTCTTGACCCTCTGGCCTCCCTTCAACTGTTTACAGACCTAGAAGCTTGCCATGCAGTGATTTATGCTTCACAGCTTGGCAGGTGCCTTGCGCCTTTGCCTCACCCAGTCTCCAGATGCAGGGTAGCTACATCTGCAGGAAGAAGGGGATAACAGAAGAATAATTTGCTCTTTTATTCTCCAAACAGCCAGACAGGAGACAAACTTCCGAGCAGATAAAGTGGAGCAAGTCAGTGAGAACAGGGCACTGTGGCCACGTAGTGTTACAGGCAAAACTGCAAATTCCTAGAAAGCTGGAGGGTCAGGCTCTTGCTGTACTGCAACATGTTTGCTGGGGGTATGAAATCTCACGGCAGACCTGACTTTTCAGAACTACTATCTTTTCATGCTGTGTTTGAATATGGTTAAAAGCAAAGCCTTGTCCACATGGAGGAGCACAAGACTAAGGGCAATGGAACTGCATGTGGGCAGAGTCACTCAGTTGTAGGTGTCTGCAGGTTCAAGGTGGCAGTGTTTAGCTGGATGTGGGGAGGAAATGAGAAGCACTCAAAATACTTAAACAGATGGAGACTTTCCAGCCTGAAAAAGCTTTGGTATGTCTCACATTTATTAACATAAGCAAATCGATTCCCAAATAGTGATGATTTAATAATTTCCTTGTCCCTACAATGTATATATTCACACCTGCCCAACCTTGTAGGTCTCTGCTTCCTTTCTAGAATAACTGCAGGATCTGTGAGCCCTAAGTGCTCTTGTCCCCACCCCTTTCCTTGGATATTCACAAACGGGAGGGAGAAACTCTTTGTGTTGCTGAAAACCTGACACCCCTCTCACTCCTATGGATGCTGCCATGAGTGAGAACAGTCAGCTCCACTGGAGCTCAGCAAATTGCTCCAGGGTGATCTGACCCTCTAGCTCCAATCGGACCCACAGACTGCAGCCTAAGAAGGTGATGCCAGCAGTGTTATTCCCTGGAGGATTAGCATCCTTTCCTGAAGGGGATGTCTCTCCTTGCTATGGGAAAAATAAACTACACAAATGAGGGCATACGAGCATGCTCCTGAACAGGGTAATATGTACCCTACTGGCCTCACGGTATCCTCATCTGCATTTCATAGGCTCCTTTCAGGTGCTGATTGGCTGCATTGCTGGTTATCTGGTAGTGCCTGCCTCAGCTAAGGGCTGGAAAGACTCTGGGCTGTGGGAAAAATTGGGAAGGTGGTGGGAAGAGACATGTGAATGGGCTTTATACCAACCTGGGTGAGGAGGAGACACAGACTCTGAAAACTGGATGCTGCTGCTGCCCCAAGGAACCTGACCAAAGAGAAGGGAAGAAAAGAAATTGTATATACTGTAACACAGGGGAGCATTTTTCTGCATGCTGAGGTAAGTCAGGATTTCGCTTCAATCTATTTACGTAAAACTTATTTACTTCATGGCTGTGACATGGAAAACTGTCCTAGCATTGACAGAACAAGATTACCATGCATAACATGATTTTTCCCTGAGCCTATAACGACACTGGAGGAGCACACTAACCTGGTGTAAAGTCCTTGATAACAGTACCTTGTTAATTCAGTAGAAATGTGGTTGAAATGTGATGTGGGTTAATTTCTAGGACCAGGAACTTCACAGTGGAGGGATCCCAAAGATTTTGTAGGAATAAATATAACTGACTAATTAACAAATTGCAGTGTTAACTCTTGAAACATGACTAAAGACAATTGCAGGTATCCCCACGGCTGGGCATCAGACTGGGTCGCCGTGCTTGGTGGTAATGTTGTTTGAAAACCAGCTCTGACATTGCTCCCCACTCTAACAAAGCTACGTGCCTCTATGAAAACGGACCGTCTTATTTTCTGAGGAGTGCTGGAAGCTGAAGCAGACAGATCAATCTGTACTAGGAATCTGACCTGCCAGAGAGGAGAAATCCACCCCAAAAGCTTCGGGAGTTTTGGCACTTATTATTTGGGACCAGGATTTTACTCTGCAAGTACAAATACTGTTGGTTTTTTTCCTCAGTCTTAATTCATACAGACTTCCACTTCATTTTCTTTATTCAAAATGCCCTCAAGTTAGTGGCTCATTTCCTTAGCAACAGCTTCTCAGCACACTTCGATGCATCCAATTCATTAAATAGTGGCTATTCTGGGATGGAAGTGCCTGTAGGACTACCTCTCTTCTCTTTAGCTGCAGATGTAAACAGGCAGATGTAAAAAGGCAGGCAGAGCCATACCAGCAGCAGTGGAAATTTTCAGGTTCGGCTCTTTTTGGTGCACAGAGGCAGCTTATCCTGCCAGCCTTAACCTCTGGGCCATCTCCAGGACAACACACAGCTTTTGTAGATCAGAAACATAACCTCCTGCATTGCTACTTTTCACTTTTTCCATATGGGCAAAACAAGTGCTGTGTAAACTCAATGTGGGAAGCGAAAACCAGTTCCACGCAGCCCTGTGATGCCTGGCTGCAATGAAGAGGCTGCTTCCGTGAGGGTTGGAGGAGGGGAGGAGTGACCAAGCATTTCCAAAGCCAGCAGTTCTGTGCACTGTGCACCCAGGCCTCTGCCAGTGGCTTGCAGGCTGATTAGCTTTTTGTGCAATCAGCTGCAAAGAGGTACGGGAGGTGAGAGATGAAATCTGAAAACTATCCAAAGCTGCAATGTCATGAACCAGGAAGAAGTAATGATTTACCAACCTCTTTATGCAAATCCCTAGAGTGGCTGGAGCTGGAGCACTCCTACAAAGACTGGAAGAGTGAATGATAGAGTGTACACATACACACACAGATCTCTGTCCCCTCCTTTAGCAGGGATGGAGCCAGGAGCTGCTCAGGTGGTACTGAAAATCCTTGGATAGCTGAATTCAGTTAAGCACACTTAATATTATATTCAAGTAGATAAGGAGTGGTTGAAAGTAGCTTCCTGGGGGGGTGAGGCTTGTGGAAAAGGGGGAGGTTTGCACTGGTTAATCTTGAGAGCTACACTGGTCAGGTTGCAGGCGTGCCCCTGGTATATTCTTCACCTGATGCTGCAAACAGTTTGGTGCATGCTTCAGCCCGGCCAGGCCACATTTTAAATAGGGGGCAGTGACAATGACCTCTCTTGCTTACCCAGCATGATACTGGAGTTTCTGTGATAACTAAGTTGGACTGAAATTTGTCAGTGTGGGCCTTCTATCCCAGAGTAAGTTATTCTTTCTGGAGCACCAGCTCTGCTTTCTCCCTGCACTAATGTCTCAGACCATCACCTGTTTGGATCACTGCTGCACTTACCCTGGCTGAATGTTCTTCTCCCTGATCCTCACCAGCCTGCTACACTCAGACTTTGGCAGTCTCCTTGGCCAGAGACTACAGTCTTGGCAAAAAAGGTAAGGAGAGAAGACTTTTACATACCGCTGTATCAGTTGCTGCTTGTCGTGCTCGTCTCTGCTGCAGTAACTCCTTAACGGTAATCTTTACTCTAACACCTTGATACACCTTGGGCTTTCCTGAAAGAAATTGCAGGAAAACACTTTACAATCTAGGACTTTCAGAGCATACAGTAAATCCTGAATGTTTTCAGGCATGCTTTATGCGAAGTCTACTTAGAATAAACAGATGAGTAATCGTTCACTGTTAAGTCACTTGTAATCAGAGTTTATAGCCCTGTTTAACACCTGCTAGGTAAGCTTGTGATAAGCAGACATTTATGAAAAGGTTGGTATTGATTATATGTTGTAATCATACGTGTTTTTTCTTTATCTCGCCCACCCTCTAGGTGTCCTAATGCCAAGTTTCATCTGGTGCCACTGCTGAATTTATTTAAATTCCTATCATACTTGCCACTCTTAGGACCCGAAGATAAATGTGGGAAGGACTTCATCTGGCAGATGAAGACCAGGAATAGAACAATGGAAATATGTGGGCAGTTATTCAGAGGGTCAAACAAAACACAAATAAAATTACTGCTTTCATGAATCACTTCTTGCAAAGCCTAGATTATCTCTTTATTTTGCTCCCATTTATTTCAAACAAACAGTTAGGATGTCTTTAATCCAGCCCAAACCAATCAGCAATCATCAGTCATTACCTGATGAGGGATTTTTAGTACAGGAAATGGGAAGCGATTTACTTATTCTGAAAAATCCCTTTCACTTGCTGTACTCATGCTGAAATACTCAAAGCCTCCGGCAGTTCTGTTTCAGTCCTAACCTTCTGCTGTTATTTTTATCCAGTAGCAGATCTTAAAAACACTAGGGTTGTCTCATCCTGCAGTCAGCTGTTCCCCAGAGGAAGCAGCCAGTTGCAGGTTCCCTGTCCTATAGCTGCTGCATGCAGCAAGAAGACAGTGCTGGATTTGCGGGTTCTGCCTGCATATCCAAGAAATCCCACACTGTAGGTACTGTCTTCTTTGGCTATAACCTCTCTGTGTTGGTGATGGCTGTATGGCATCTTTATACTCCTGTCTGCCCACCTCCGGCCCTCCTGCTGCCCCCTTGGTGCTCTGGTTGAGAATATGCTGTAACAGGCACACCAGTCCCTCCAGAAAGGTCACAGGCTGAGCCAGGTCTGCCTCGAGTGGAGTTTGCTGGCCTGGGGGTTATTCATTTCATATCTTTATGTTTTGTTTCTCTTCACCAAACTAAAGATAGGGGAAATGAGGGGAGGAAAGGGAAAGGTTGAATTTAATGAGAACACTCCGTTAACAGGTCTCCCTATAGCCAGAGAGGGCCCTGAGCTAGTTTGGGTTTGTACTGCATAAAGTCTCTTGGCTCTGGTCTGCACAGGTAAATGGACAGGGCTAGAGGCTACGCTATGAGCAACTTAAAGAGAGGTTAGCAGGCAAGGTATGGACACATCTAGAACTCGGGGCTGAGGACTGCGTGACAGCCAGCCCCCTGGCTCCCGTGGTAGAGCATTGTGCCCCAAGAATCCTGCTTTTCTAGCACCCTGTGGCCAGCCCTCCTGAACCGGCCAGGCTGCGGATGAAAGGGGCAGCGTGGTGAGGGTGGGTTGGGGCTCAGGGTGACAAAAGCAGTCTGGAGAGTAGGCGCAGGGTGACAAGGACGGGCAGGGGGTCGAGAGCAGCGTGGTAAGGGCACACAGAGCTGGGGGGCAAGGGTGCGGGGGCCGCGACTCCCACGCTGCCTCATG